CAGAGAAAGTGAGAGAAAAGTCTGAGGAAATGGTAAAAGATGAATGGGGTTCAAGAAGGCAGAAGATGGTAATTGACATTTGTTTAAATTTTTGAACATTGTAGTAATCAGGAAAAAGGAGTTACATTGTCGGGAAGTGTGAGAAAAGAAACTGTTGGCGTAGAAGTGGAAGTTTCATGAAACTATTTCAACAGTAAGAGGGTGGGATCTAGATGCCAGCATGCTTAAATTCATGTAGCCAGGGCAAAGGCATGTCAGGGCTGTTGCCATGAAAATATTTCTAGAAAAGACAGAGAGAAGCTACAAGTAACTGAAATCGAGATGTCAAGATCAATTACATTGCAGATTCTTATTTGGATTTTGTCAAGAACCTTGATAGGAACAGCTGGGGCACCAGACCAGATATGGCAACAGTATTCAATGCATTGAGGAATGGTAAGATTTGTAAATATGCAAGATGGTCTCTGATAAGAAAAACCTTCTGGCATGACACAATAAACCAACTTTCCTTGCACTAGATACAGCTATTGATTTGATGTAGTTGTTCCACTTCAAGTCAGTTGAGAATGTGAGGGCAAGAAGGCGCAGTGTGTTGCTCTCCAGGAGTCAAGCATCAGTCATGCTGATGGTGGGCAGGGAAGTTTCTCTATGGGGGTTAAATGAGAGCAGTTTAGTTTTGTAGGCATTAAAATTTACAAAATATTTCTGGTCTCAGTTAACCACTGATTGGAGGTCCTTTTCAAGAGCAGTGACCAGGTTAACTTTGTCAGCTCTGACAGATTTGCTATTGAAACGGGAGTAAATGGTTGTATCATCTGCATAAATGCCTACTTTGGAACAGATGACATCAGGAACATCATGAAGATCAGAAACTGTGTAGGACATAGTATAGGGCCATGAAGGACATCCACATCCATGTAAAAAGATCTGGAAGCACGACTGTTCAGAATGACCTTCATTTCAAGATTTGATAGGAATGATTGGATTAAATCAAACAATAGTCCTGTAATACTGTAGCCATGAAGCTTACATAGATGTCCGGCATGTCAGACCCTGTCAAATGCTTTTGGGATATCTGGAGCCACAGCTTGAGCTTTGACATTATCAAGCGCTTGATACACATATTCATTGATGGCTGTAATCAGCGGTAGACTGGACAATCCATATTATTTGTCGGTAGATGTCAGTAGGTTGTGAGAGGTAAGATGCTTAACCACTTCAGCATTGATTAAAGCCTCAAATACTTTGCCGAAAAGCTGTAGGAGACTAATAGGGCAATAGAGGGGTCAGAAGGTTCTCCAGAGTTCTTAAAAACAGAAACTACAGAAGAGGACTTCCAACTGGAGAGCAAGTAGCAGTGAGGTAATAGTTGTAGAGTTTGGAGAGAACTAGAGCCAGCTCGGGAGCATATTTCTTCAGGATGATGGCTGGTATCCTGTCACCTCCACTTGCCTTATGGGATTTGAATTTAGAAATGATGAACGAGACCAGTGACGAGGTTATGCGAGTATTACTCAATATAGCCTAACATCTTGTGGGAAAATCCGGTGTGGGTACTCCAGATGAGTTGAGTGTTGAGAATTTCCAAGCAAAGAATTCTACCTTATCTGCTGCAGATGCCAGGACTTCAAATTGATTGAATAGGATAGGGATTGGAGATTTTCTGTTGTTCAGCACACTCTTGCAGAGCTGCTAATAATCTCTGGAACCAAGCTTGCAAGATGCTATAGGTTATTTTATTCTATCAGTTAACTGTAACTTTGCTTCATTGAGGACATGCTTGCACTTGTTACAAGCAGAGACAAAGAGACATCTGTTGCAATCAGACGTGTTGCTTTGGTATAGATGGAAGAAGTGATTCCTGTTGGCTATAGCGGCTCAGCATGCAGGTGAGAATCAAGGAAATACCTTATCAATAAAACTTTCTGCCAATGCTTTCTTATTTTACATATTTAATATTCTAACAGTAGCATGTTTGGTGTTTCACTTAAGAAGGATTTTAGAATCTCTTTTTATTTCTAATTGTTAGCTGTCTGTGTAAAGCTAACAGTTTTACAAAGTTCCCAAAACCATTTTCTTATAACTGGTAAATTCCAAAGAGGCTAAATTTAGTATCATTTGAAAGACAAATTTTTATGTAAAATCTAGTCTTGTGTAGCAATATGATATCTCACACATCCTTATAAGATGGATAGATAGGTTCTTTTTCATTTTAAGTCAATTTAATGACCAGAATTTTTTAGGAATCCTGTTTCCAGCCCACCTTTGAATTGACAAAATTTTGTTAGTTTTTTTTTTTAGATAGCCATAAAATTAAAGTCCTTTGACAGACTGCCCATCCAAAATCTGTCTGGGTGCTCTCCCTTTTTGGTTGGTGGAACATGAATGGATGGAAAAGGGGGGGGGTTTACCCCAGCCAGTATCCATATAATGAAGCAGTGAGTGAAATGGGCAGGCATTGTAGGGGTCTGTTTCCCATGGTTGGAATTTAGTGAGAAGTCGAAGTTTGCTTTCTTGAAACTATGTGAGAATTGGTCAGAAGCACCCTCCCAAAATAAAGAAACTATATACAATTCCAATATGTAAATCAATTCCACAATTATCTTCATTCCTCAATCTCAAGTGTACAACTCCTTGTCAGGAATGAGACTCACTCTTGAATGTGCGTACCATGCTTTTATGCAACTGATCCAGCCATTGCTCAGCCAATGAGTGTCCAGAACCAGCCAATAAAAATGGCTACAAGTGACACCACAGCACATAAAGTGCTGCCCAATTCACCTCCAGTCCAAAGCTTGCAAATTTGCCCTCTCCACACTCCATTGCCAAACATACATGCGACTCTGGCCCTCTTGGGTCGCTGAGGTAAGTCTCCGGTACAGAATCAGAAGGAAGACATTACCGATTAAGTGAGTAATTGTATTGTATTATTTTTTTTTTTTTTTTGCTACTTCTCAACCCAACAAGTGTCTTGAAAAGCTTTTGTTATTATTTGTGTTGTTTATGGCCATAATCGATACGAATCTGTGGAACATATAGTGAGTGCTGGTGTATTCACATACTGCTGAACTTGGATGTCATTACAGTTTATGCAGAATGACATCATCACACCTGGGTATGACAATAAACTACATTTGACAGCAAGGCCTCTAATCAGAAGATTGGAGGTTTTGAGGAGTGTGGAATCACCTCTTAATTGCTTGATACCAGCAGTACATTTTTATATAACAAAACTACCAACAATACATATTTCTAGTTAAATTACCAACAGTACAATTTTATAGCAAAATGGCCAACAATACATTTTATCTGTAGTTCAAGGCATGTGTTCAAAATATTTAGATTTATGCATTAAATGACCCATTGTTGCTAAACAAGATCGACCAACCAAAATCTTTTTTCCTTACATGAAAAAATCCTTTGATGTTTCATCTTAACAGAAAGATTTTGATGTTAAAATTTTGTTTATATTATGTTTTGGGCATTTTTTCATAATGTATCTTTTTTTTAGTGAATGTTTGGAGGTAGTTACTTTTAGTATTAGCACAGTTGTTGCGGTTAAACTGTTTATATAAACTATATCATGGCTAAAATTTCATAACCAAAGATTTTTCACAATTTTCATTTCAATGAATAATTATGATGTCACATCAAAAAGCATTTGAACCTGGTGTAGACAATATTTTGACATTTTTTTTTTTTTTAAATCATGGACTTTTTTAATTTTCTTCAATAAAAATAAAACATTTCTGGTGGTAAGTGTGTGGGAAAGAATTTGACTAGAGAACATGTTTTACTTAAAATTTGTTTTAAGCTACAAAATTGTACATTGTGCCTTAAAAATCTAGAAGAAAAAAATTGTCTTTGGGTAGGAATTAAGGCAAACAAAGAATAAGGTTTAAGTATAAGGTAAATGCAATATTGATGGCTTTACTAAAATAACTTTTACAAATGTTACTGTAGAAATTCATTGAAAATGACGATAAAAGAATTTGTCATTGGTTAGGAATTAATCAATGTTTATCCTTTTGGCATGTATTAGAATACAGTTTACCTATTTGAGGAGTTATCTTCTGAAGGAGTACTTGTAAACTCGAGTATAACTTCAACCAATCTCTATCTTTTGATTCAAATGTAAACTGGACCTATGTCTACCTTTCTGTTAATCTCTCTAAGATTTCTTCTATTCAACATTACTCAACAAGGATTGATAGGCTGTTGAATTAAGCAACTTAACCTGACATAATAAAACAAAGTGCTATGATATGTTACACGTAAAATTCAAGGTCAGTGAGTTCTGATTTTGGTAAATTTTTGACTTTGGTAACTTTACTGGCACTAAGAATTTTAGTAAATTTATTTTTTCCTGAAGTGTTCGTTAAGGAAGGGAGATAATTCTTGATTTGCAGAAGATTTTCAAAAATTTTATCTTATTCCATTTAAAAAAAAAAAATAATGAAAAATAAATTTAAAAAAAGTTGACTTTAAAAAGAATTAGTATTTTTCTCTGATTTGGTTCCTTGATTTACTAATACCAAATAAAATAGTCTTTCTTTCTTACATTTATAAACGCGTTGTTGTAGCTTTCCTTCCAGTGCATTTTGTTGGTATTTGTAACTGGTTATAAATCAAAATTTTGAATACTGAGTTTCAAAGTAGATAGATAGGTCTGCTTGACTTTGAGGACCCTTTCTCTCTCTTTCTTATTTCTTCTTGTGCCATACAAAGTTGAATATTGAAAACAGGCTTGAAATAGTCATTGTTTGTTATTAATGGTAATATTTAGTGAAACGATCATTCATTAATATCCATATGTGTGAATGCTTTATATTTCAAGATGACTAACAAAAAAGAAAAAAAAAAGAATATGAATTTTATTTAATTTACTTAACTTATATTGCAAAAACACTTGAAGTTTTATTATTGAAGTTACAGGTGTAATCTATTTTTGTTGAAATTATGATTGACCCTTCTTGTTTTAAATATTTATGAGACGTACAACCACATCATGTTGAAACACTGGTTCCCATATAATCACCAAAGTTAAGCAACATCAAGCCTAGTTAGTATCTAGATGGGTGACTTCTTGGGTATGCAGGTGGTGTAATGACTTGTAATAGTTAAGTGGAGAGCTGAGTTCCAATTCCTGTTGGATTCGTTATATTCACTTATGTACAAAATACCCTTATTGTCCAAATTTTCGCACACTCGTTTGTGTTAAAAACGAGTGGTGATGGTGCTGTGGGCAGTACCCAAATCCAAGACATTATGAATTTTAGTCTCATGGATGCATCTATTAAAATTGATGTTAAAAAGCTGATATATAACTCTGAAGAGATATTGTGTAAGTACCATAATTGTTTATTTAGATTTTAACCATTTTTTATTTTTATTTTTGTTTCAGGCCGTCTGAGTGTGAAATCACTTTCAAGAAGAAACCGACAGGAAATAAAAAGAAGTGAAAGAAGGAAACGGGTAAATGTGTTCTCTTGATAAATCAGTAATTAATTAGTAGGCTCATGAGAATTTATTAACTTCATTTTTTTTTTTTTCCTTAAAAGTTGAAAATCTCAAAGGCAGGCTTCAAGACCAATATCATGGTGTTATTCCAGGGAGGATAGAATATTAGTTTATGATAACTGCTGTCACGTGTGCGACAAAAGAAAAGATAAAGAAAAGCAAATTGAATGACAGGAGAACTTGGTTTTATAGTAAAGAAAAAAAGTTTTAATTTTAGTGATTTGGTCAGTGGTTAAAAAGGGAAAAAACATAAAAAGTTTACCAGGAACAAGTTAGAAATACTTCAAAATAATTTCAGTCTGGAGTTGCTGGGTTTTGTGGCAAAGTTTACATGTCAGGTCAGCAAAGGGGAGTAAACAGACTGCGCAGAAGTAGTTTTTTGGCAATAACTGACTTAATTTTAGCGCCAACCAACAAATACCCAGATAAAAGACTTGTAAGTTCATCCCATATCAAATGACCCACAGAACTAGAAATTGTTTCAGCCATAAAAATACATTCTCTTAACATTGCTTAATGTTTTGCTTTTAAGCATGATACACAATTTTTAATTAAAATTAATTTTTTTAATCTAAAAAAAAAAAAACCAACTAATTTCTTAAAAAAACATCTTACCAGTAGTGGTGGGCTTTTAGTAAGTATATGGATGCACACTTAGAAAAAATAAAGTCTACTTAAGCATTTCTTTTTAAACTGAAATCTAAATGAAGATTGAAGGACTTAAATTTAGATATATGTATTATTTAGATGTAAAAGTGAAAAATGTTAGTATATGATTGTTAGAACAAATTTTGCTTCTATACACAAAGCAAGAAAATAATATTTTTCTGTTAATTTCTGAATGAACCATTGACAATGTTTTCTTTTTATCATAAACTAAATTGAACATTTGAGGGGGAATTTAAAAAATGATAAACATGGAAAATTTAATGATGATGTGAGGCAGGTAATTGTAAATTAAAACTTTAAAATCTTATTTTCGGTGAAGTGTAGCAATGCATTAATATCTTACTTATTATAAAATGCAGATTGTGTGTGTGTGTGAGTGTGTGTCTGTAACGTTTATATATTGGATCCAATTTCCTACATTTTTTAGCCGATTTCAACAAAACTTCACAGGACTACATAAAATTACCTTGTGATGGTTCTAATGGCGCCGAAAATGGGAAAAAAATTGTTTTTTAACAAAATTAATTTGAAAACACGATTAAGACACATCGTGAGAATGAAAGGGGGACAACTCACCCACGAAAATGTAAACAAAAGAGCATAGCATGATGAAAAAAAAGCCGAACTTGACGAGAACAAAATTTTATCGTCTAATGTTCATATTATTATTAAAGAGGAAAGATCAAAGTATTTTTGGGTATTTTTTTTTTACATTTTTTAATCGTTCCTAGCACGTCTGAAATTTTCATTAAAAATATTGTTTTTTTTTGGTCAAAAAAAAGGACAGATAATCAATCATTTTCAATCATTTTTTTCGATTTGATAAAAAAGATTAAAATCTGACTTTGATATTCTTTTAAAAATCAATTATCACTTTTTCAAAACTGATTTTAATAAAAACAGAAATTATACTGTTTATTTAAAATATTTTGAACCAAGCTTAACTTAGCTTCTGCGCTGAAAAAATGTAATTTGAAAATAAAACAAAGCAGGTCATAACCTTTCGCGTCGCTTGACGATTGACGAAAGGCACATTCATGACGTTTAGATAACTTACGGGAGGATAATTCTTTCTATGAATGGAAGGAAGTGAAATTATTTAAGTGAACAAATTATTTACCTCGTTACTTTTAAGGAAAACTTTCAGCGCTCTAATTTTTTATTTTTTATTTTTGTACTTAGCTTTCATTTTTACGTTTACGATGCTTTATGGAAAATATAAAGAAATTCAAAAATAAGACTGTTAATAGTGAGATTAAATTTCATAAGAAAAAGGTATCTAATTAATTTTAGGTACCTTTCTTATGAAATTTTATCAGAAGTGTACATAAAATACTATAATTTTATGTACATTTATTACATTTTACTGTGTTATTTGTATTTCCATTCATTTTATTATTAATTTTGATATTTCATTTATGGAAAAATGTCATAACTGAGATTAATCTTACTTATTATAAAACGCAGATTGTGTGTGTGTCTGTCTGTAACGTTTATATATTGGATCGGATTTCCTACATTTTTCAACCGATTTCAACAAAACTTCACAGGACGACATAAAATTACCTTGTGGTGGTTCTAACAGCACCAAAAATGGGGAAAATATAATTGTTTTTGCACAAAATCAATTTGAAAACACGATTAAGAGACGTCATGAAAATGGAAGGGGGACAACTCACATCGGGTTGTTTGTGTGTGTGGGTTACTTTAAATATGGGAGCGGATTTCCTATATTTTTCAGCCGATAAAACAAAACTTCACTTTTTTTTTTGACAGGTAGTGTTTCTTATTCTCTTGCACACTTTTTTCTTTATTTTTAACATTCAGAATGCTTTAAAAATTCCATTTACAAGACAATTATTTATAATAAAATTCTATTCAATCAGTAGACTCATAACGATTGAAAACAATGTTTTTGTTTGAGTTTGACCAATTCGTAAAAAAAAAAAAAAAAATTAACACTTGCGTGTCCGTCAACCTTAAACAATAATCTTTGTCAATTTTATTTTTCAGTCTTTATGATGGTGGATACTTGATCTATCTCTTACTGTTATATCCCCGGGCAACACCGGGCTCTACTGCTAGTTCTTTATACAGGAAGTGAATAGAGCAGAATTGTGAAAATATAATTACTTTGAGTGTAAATATTAATAAGAATTTCTGTATAAAATTATTTGAGATAATTTAAGTGAAATGTTAAAATAACAATAATAATAATAATCCTATTATAATTGTACTTGTCCCTCCCTTCATCCGCACAACCGTTACGCCCTGCCAATATTTCACAAATGATGGACTATTCTGTTTTAATCACATGGAAAGAGGGGAAATGACACTACTTGGTTTCAGTGATAAAATGAAAGAAAGAAATGGAGAAAGAGAATCAGATTAAGCAGATAATAAGATACTACACTTTGATCTTAGCCAAATAAGCTAGAAGACATGGCGACTGCGGTAAAGGCACCATTTTTCAGATGCGCAGTATTGAACGACAGAAACCGAGTAATCCAATAAAATATCATCGGCTGCTGAATTCTTTTAAGATACTTATTCAGAGAAATGTTTGTAAAAGAGGATTTGGCTAGTTACAATAAAATCTAACTAAATTTGTTTTCGCTTTTATTAATTCTTAAAATTAATATTTTAACTTTTAAAAATTTTTGTTACAACCAGCACTTCTGCATGCCATGTCTCTTAAGAACATGGGTAGTCAAGGCAAACCACTACTTTCTATCACTTGTGTCCCTCAGCAATTTTTCTATTTTTGCTAAGGTTCCCACCCACCATTTTACCATCCGCTCCCACTGTTTCTGAGCATAAATATTCTTTTTTGTTTTCTTATTTTCTTTAAGACTTCCTCACTGCTTGGAATTCTCAGTATCCTTCTGTAGAATCACATTTCATGCAATTGAGACATGGAGGTGACTGTTTTGATGCTCAGCTGAGCAATGTTCTATGACCACACCCAGTCATTGGACTAATGATAATGATGATATCTTTTTCTCATGGCTACTAAATTACTTTCAATTTTTTTAATTGTTCTATGTAACCTTTTTATTTATTTTTTATTTTGAATCTTTCATTTAAGGCATAAAATAAACTGCTATTCTCTGAATGGTGTAAAATCAATAAGATCAAGGTAGATATGTTGATTACAATGGTGGATTATGCAGCAAATAAATGCTGAAAACAAGGGACCTGTTCTTGTGCTGCTGATGCCACACAAATTTGTGAAGATGCCATGTGAGGAGCACCTGATAAGTTCCAAACACAGTTTATGGCCATCCAAAGATTTTCCACCTTAGTATGGATGGTGTCATCATTAAGATGCACAAATTACTCTTGTTGAATAATGATGTCACAAGAGTATATCTCGTTGCTGACTTCCTCGATTCCAGTATAAGCAGACCATTTATTTGAAACAATATGACTTCCAGGCTCAATGTACATATTTTTTTTAAATTTTAGACTTTAAAGACGAAATTTCTTATTCACACCTCTCTCAAAAAGAGCTTCAAGAAATTGAAAAATTTTCTTGTTTTTTGTTTACCTTCAGCTGCATCCTAAATTGAATAATTTCCAGATTTGTTTAATCTTTGCAGGCACTTAATATTCGCAAGACAAAGAGGGATGAAATTTTAGCTAAGAAACGAAGCCGAGGGAGTGCTGACAGTCCCCCACATATTGTTGTAAGTGTTTTAAATATGTCTTTTTGAATGTTTTTGTATGTTTGCCCATCATGTTGAATGAAAAAAGAAATTGGGATTCATGTCATAAAGTTTGACAAGCATTAAAGTTTTTTTCTTTTAATTATTTCACTCTAAGAAGGCAAGAAAGCCACTAAAATTCAAGGAGTTACTGGCTGTTAGAAAATATGAGAAAAGCTACTATTAAGAGGATGTGACAATAAAAGAACAA